CTTGCCGGCGAAGGCTTCAAATCTCGTAGACTCAGCGAAGAGCAGTAGATGTCGTCGCTGAAGGAGAAAGAATCAGCGATCCTATGCCGAGCACCTGCTTATATAGCCAGATGCCCCACCCATTTTGGCGGGCTCTGGCGTGCTGCTTCGCCATAGGCTCGCGCAGCTCTGCTGCGCCGTCATTGGTTCATTTCTGAAACAATGGCAGTACAGATGCATTGAAAAAAAAAAAAAAGGCTTCAGTAATCGGAGAAAAGGAGTTTCCCGCAGCATCTAGCGACGCAGTACGAGTGAAGTATCGAAAGAGAACAATGGGATAATCGCCGATGTATATGGCGAACCCCCGTTGAATCCATACACAAGAATGCTTATTTCATTTAACCTGTTTCATGTCCGTTACTAGGCGTGTCCTCAGAGCGATTACATATGCTCTAAACTGCGTTTTGCTCCAGCTGTATAAACACAGATGCTAAATGCTGCTGCTAATGTTTAATATTCGCTGCATACAATGCAAACTGCTAACATGACACTTAGTTAAACTTGATTATGGTTGCTCATTTTGGAATTCGGTTAAGCAGACCACGCAATACACACAGCGATATGGATTAGAAGAGCTTTCACTTATCTTAGATGTTGAATTCGCTGTTCTGAAGCAAGCTGCACTGCTATGGCAAGCTCTAGTGATATATTTGAATGTTGAGCAGTGAGCTCATTGGCTACCAATACAGGAGATAACCAATCAGATGTGCCATGTGATAATGATGTCTTTACGTCAGATTGAGTTAGACCTATTCACCATCAGAGTTTCATGCCAGAACTCTGTATTTATTTTTTTTGTTCATGTAAGCTATAGCATCTGACCTTTAAATCAAAACATACTCATGATTTTATGCCATCAATTACTGCTTTATTTAATCAAACACAATCTAAATATTATTTGTGTATTTTCCTTTCATTTTATTAGAAGTAGGCCTAGGCTAACAACGCCCCCTACGGAATTAAAACTCCTTACCAAACGGGCATTAGGACCCGGGGGAGGCTGCCGCTGCACGTGCTATTACGGTTTACTCTATCATACACTAAACGCATCATTCTGTAAGTGCGTTCTCAGTTTAAATGCAGTGATCCAGGCAAAACTTTGCTTCAAGAATGAGCCACACTGCTGACATGATCTAATGGCACTGTTGATGTAATCGCTAGCACACCCTGAGCACATGCGAGTTAACGTATTCCTCTTATCGTCAAGACATATCGGCATAATTTTTTATATCGGGCCGATGCCAATATTTACATTTAAAGCATTTATCGTCTGATTCCGATATGTGGCCGATAATATCGTGCATCCCTTTCAAATACATTAACATTGTCATGTACATTACCATGCCAATCTCTCAGAGAGTTGTCATGACAGAACTTCTTTTGTCTTCAACAGCTGAAAGAAATTGATAAAGGTATGGAACAACTTGAGGGTGAGTAAATGATGACTATTTGTGTGAACTACCCCTTTAACACAGAATTTTTGTAGATGTAGACGTCTGTTCTCAGTCTTGGATTTACATTACATCTGTATTCATTTTAAGAAGTGAAAGACTGTCAAACCTTAAAATCTTGTGACTTAAAGCTCTTTTGTATTTTTCAGGTTAGGAACATGTCGTCCCAAAGAGTCCTGCCATTGATTTTAAATACATCAGCATCACAGAGGTCTGATTCAGTCAGATGGCATGAATGTGAAGAATGCCTTTTGTGCTGAAATTAAAGGTCACCTGCATGCTGGTATGTTTATTGCCATACGTATTCCTGCTTTGAGTTACAACAACAATTTTACTTAAGTCTGTTTGTGCGATTAAGGCCATCAATCAGCTTTATGAAGAGCAAATCATTATTAGTAGGATCACATTTTAGGACTGGGTATCATTCCAAAATTTTCGATACCGATACTGATACCGATACCGATACCTTGACTTCGATACTGGTTCCTGAACAATACTTTTTTTTTTGATAGAATTGCACGACAAAATTGCAGCACATGCCATTGGGTTCCTCTTCGCTTTCTCCCACTGCTATCAAAAGCCTCCATTCTTTACGGTTTATTATGATCTGGAGACAGGCAGATAGATGAATGTATAACATAACCCAAAGTCTACTGTTGACAGTGTGATATAGAATATTGGATCTGTGTCTCACACGTATGCGAGTTGGTAGAAGCTTTAGAAGAATCAGAATCAGAATCAGAATGAGCTTTATTGCCAGGTATGTTTACACATACGAGGAATTTGTTTTCGTGACAGAAGCGGAGCACACCACGGAGGCAGCCATCAGCGTCGGCGCCATCTTACCTATTTGCACCTATTTACCATCTTTCCATCTTTATTTGCAGAGTTGAGACCTTATGGCTTTGATTAAAATTTATTTTTCCCTCTTAGTTCACTTATGGCGGGGTTGACCTTCAAAACCAGCCTAATAAAACCCAGAAGCATTCCACCTAAATATGTTTAAGTACAGAGATTAAATTTTCTTTGATAGATTTCCTTGCGGCATTTTCTTTGTGGCCTCAAGTCTCTGTGCTTCTATAGTAGACTTTAAAACAAACATGCTGTAATAAGTTTAACTTTCAGCAGAAGAGAGATGGGTTTTACACCTCTGAGTTTGTCTGACGTGTAGTCTGCTTTTAAATTGATCACAATTGCTTAGCAATAACCTGTAGCTATAAAAACATAAACAATTTTTTATTTTAATTTTTTAATTGTAATCATCATAAACCTCCAGCATAGCATTCAAAAGTTTTCCTTCCCCTTTCCCCCCCTTTTATTCTGTGGACCTCTCACATAGTCTTTATTGAAATATATCCCTATTTCCTTAATGCACAAACTCTTGCTGAGCCTCTGCCTCATAAAAAGCATGGTGAAAGTCATAAGTCTGCTTCACGCCATGCCACATTTCTGCTGAATTCTTGTACACAACACCGGCGGCCAAACACATGAATCAGTGTACACAGATCCTCTTCTCAAATAAATGGAGAGAGAGGGCCATTGTTGAAAAATGAGTGACAGATGAAAGCTGCATTTCCTTTGCGGGTATCATTTCAATACTAGTGTTGAAAAACTGGAAAATAATTCAGTAATTCCTAAGGAAATTGGTTTGATATATTTGAGGATGTGTCAGGAGGGACCTCAAACATGTGTATCGCTCAAATGGTAAATGATTTAGAGCTCTCTGGAAAATGTAAAACATGCGGTAGCCAGATTTTGACTTCAACTGTATATATCATTCTAATACATAGTTCATTGGTACACAAGTGGTAAATAAATATGGCCACTTGAAAAATTTATTTTTAGTATTGTCACACATGGGTAAGTATACTGACAAGTATACCATTCCAAGTTTTTTGTTGAATGGAATGAATACTTTCATTTAGCAAGGATGCATTTAATTGATCAAAAGTGACAGTTAAGACATTTACATTGTTACAAAAAAAAGAAGGGAAGAAAAAGAAAATAGTATGGTTTAGTATGGTTTTAGTATGGTTTTCAGCAGCAACTTATTTCAACATAATTAGAAATATTTCTGAATATTCAGACTGAATATTCAGCTTGGCTGTCACAGGAATAAATTACATTTTAAAATATATTAAAATAGAAAATAGTCATTTTACATTGTAATAATATTAAATATTACTGATGTTATACTGCTTTTTTAATCAAATAAATGTAGCCTTGGTGAGCATAAGAGACTTCTTTCAAAACATTACAAAATCTTACCGCCCGAAACTTTTAAGTGGTACTGTATATTAAAGGGGTCATATGATGCTACATGCACTTTTACAAGTTGTTTGAACTGAAATGTGTGTTGACAGTGTGTGTACACAGCCACCCTAAAATGATAAAAATCCACCCAGTGTTTTTTTTTTAATCTGCTCAAATCTTTACCCCTTTCTCAAATCGAGCCGATCTCAGATGCCTGTCTGTGTGACATCACAAAAACAGGCCCCTCCCACGATAGTTTGATTGACAGTAGCGTTTTAGCACAGACTGGACTGCCGTCTTAGACCTGCCCTGAGTGAGCTGTCATCAGTCCGCCATTTTTTCACCGCCGGAGCGGTGACTTCTAAGCGATTGAGGTGTTCTGTTGTTGGATGTAATAATGAACATAGCATCTGAGCCGCTGAAGACGCAGTGGATTACGTAATAATCGCCCCCGATCTACATAAATGCGTCTATGTTCGCGCGAATCATTCGTGATCCAGCCTCATCTACAGAAGAAGTGAGTGTAAGGTTTTTTTAATGAATCTTTGCAAATCGCCTTTCCTAATAATGTGCTAATTAGCAAGTTTCACGATGAATGCGGCTAAAGTAAACAGTCCCTCAGAGAGCGGCTCGGATGAAAGGGGCGGGGTCAGCAGAGCTCATTAACATTTAAAGGAAAATGCTACAAAACTGCGTGCTCTGAAAAGAGTTGTTTTTGACGGTAAAAAAGTTTTTACACTTTTTTTTACACTACCATTGAGAAGTTTTAACCAAACTATGTTACAGACTTTTCATTAAAAACTTTCCATGGGCATCCTATGACCCCTTTAAATACATTTAAGGAAACAAAATCTACAATGTACACCATCAGGCAGCACATAAATAACAAATAATAATGATAAATGGACAAATAATGATAGTTGCTTATTTAAAGTTATAGTAGTTTTATAAAATTAAAAATTAAAACTGTGAACATTTACTTACCCTTTATCCGCATACCCTGACTTTTAAAACTTTCTTCTGTTATTTATAATAGAACATGCAAGGCAACATGTGTGCAAGGCTCTTTTCAATACAGTAAAAAGTGAATGGTGACCATTCCCTTAAATTCCCTCCTTAATGTTCCTCACACACAGCTATCATATGGTTTCAGAAGATTTGGAATGTAGCAAATATGCTTTTATGATGTTTTTAGTGTGCCTTCACAATTCACTTTCATTGTATGATTCTGTTTAACTTCTTCTTTTGTGTTCCACAGAAAAAAGTCATACAGTTTTGAATGACATGGGGGTGAGTAAATGATGACAGAATATTCATTTTTTGGTGAACTTTTCCTTTAATCTAGCCATTGTTTAAGTATAGATGCATATTATGCAATCAAAAAACAAGCAAACAATGAAATTTGTATAAAAAATAAAATTTGTGTAAAATGTTGAAATATAATACATTTTGTATTAGTATCATTATACATTACTATGTACGGACTTAAATCTTACCATACCTTAAGTCTGCCTTTTTTCCCAGTATTCAAACCATAGTACTGCAGTAGCAGTCTGCAAATAATTTCCCAAAAAGCAGAATTGCATGTAATTAAAACCGGTAGTAACAGTGTTTACTGTGTTTTCCAGCTGTAATTAAAGACATAGACATGCACACAATCACTTATTCAGAGAATCACTGCTGAGTGAAAGGTACTGTAAACTGACTTTTTTTTCAGCATACAGCTGGACATTTCCTGACTACAGAACAATTTCTCCCTGTTCTCCTTTATGCCCTACATATTCCAATCACATGTGAAAGTATCCAAATATTTATGGAGACAATCAGGTGTGCCAAAGATTTTTTTTTATAGTTCTCAGGCTCTACTTTTAGCCGTTAACAAATGAAACATTGAGTTTGTCATAGCTGCTGTAGGACCGAGTCTGTAATTGTTTTTTTCAATGATGACATCCTTTGAAAGTGTTCCAAGAGGAAACTACTGGTGTTGCTATCTGTCTGAGCAAGAATATACAACCACATTATGTATAAAGCTGGACCCCTGCTTCTCTTTAAAAAACATTACACCTGGCCTGCTCTCCAGTTTCAGCCCAAGTATTTCACCTCTCTGTAACGCAACACCCAGAAATCAACAGATGCCAGGGAAATGATAGACAAATAACCTTAGTGATGACTACTGTCAATTGCTGGAGTTCTCAAAACAAATTAATAAAAAAATTGCTGCATAATTTTTGTTTATTGTTACACTGAAAAAAAATGGCACAGAAACAGTTTTTACTCAGAAACTGCTAGTAAATTTCACTATTAATTACAAAGAATCGGCAAGTAACACAGAATAGAAAGACTGAAATAGTATTTTCTTGTAAAACGTGCTCCCACAGTTTTATTTACAATATTGAAAAAAATGTGTATTGTTTTGATTCTTTTGAGTGCAGCAGGGAAAAAAATCAAGGTGCATGTTTAACAAAGTTTTTGATTTGGTAGTTATTACTTTGAACATACATTTGTGTGAATTTTGTTATATGTTTCTGGATGTTGCACTGCATTGAACATGTTTCATGGACGGCACAAAACCAAAAGGTGTAAATTAGATTAGGAATTAGTTTCCATTTGTAAAGTTATTCCAGTTTTTGAATCAAGAAGAAAATGTGTGGAAAGGACACATAAAAATATTGCTCCTGTAACCATGTAGGTTGGTGCTGTATTCAAGCTCCGGAGGACTTTGTTGATTTTGGCTCTACATGCCCGTCAGAAGCTATATATCACAATTCCTGGAAAACAGATTGATTAGTGCTGCTACTGTAAGAAAATCCTTGATATAAAAAAAAGTGTTCATTAAAATCTACCTGCGAGAGCTGGTGGTATGTGTGGACCACTCTTGTTAAGTTTGTGTTGAATAGAATATGTATTGAAACAAGTTCCAGACAATGTACAACAGAGAAGAGTCTCATTACCTCCCTCAGTTCTGTCCTCTATAGTGGAGTTTTGGAGGTAGCCACACCCAGGCTGGCCATTGGCTCATGGCTGCACTGAGGACATTTAAACTGTTTGAAGGCAGAGAGTTGGAGGACTCGAGACATTGCTGGTCAGGAGGGCCCTGAATGCCCAGTCTGAGCTTGTAAACAAGTGCTTGCGCTAATAGGCGTGCGTCAGTGAGCAGGGATAATATTGTGGCAGGCGATATTCTTGGGTAAGGCATCTACAGCTTCATTATTGCCTGTGCATGAACTTTTTGGCAGCTGTAAAAATGTTCTGTTGAATTGACATTAAATTATATTATGATGTTTGTGGGGGTAGATTTCATGCAGTGATTTCGTTTTTTTTTTTAATATTTTAAACTTTATTTGAATTAATTGCTTGGTATTTTTTTTTTCTAATTTGCCAATTCTCGCTAGTTATGAATATTCAACACTGTAAACATGTTTTGACTGGTAATCTAAAAATGTACTTTGTGATAACATCTAAATTAACTAGTTTTATTCATCTACAAGGTTTTTTTATTTAACATGTCTGAATCAAATTTAAGTAATATATTTTTTAAGGGTCAGATCACATAGAAATATTGCACTAATACAGTGCAATCTTAACTTTTGACTTTTTATTTTCTTTTTATATTTTTGCTACTGTTTCATGTTCATGCTCAGTACTAAGGATTATTGCTAAATGTATAATTTTTAGACACATACACTGAAACCATCCATAGTGATTTGTCATTTAAGACAATAATCTCTGTTTGAAAGGACAAACAGCTTCATTTCAATAAATAGTGCTGAAATTGACCAGTTGATTCATAAATCTTGTGAAGCAATGGGTGTCCCAGTCTTGACAAGATAACATATGTGTCCCAATGGACAATGCATAGTGGAAAAATGTGTTTGAAGTCAGGTGCGGAGCAGAGCAAGTGTTTTTTTGTTTTGTTTTTTTTATCTTTTTTTTTCAAACAAATTATTTTATATTTCATTTAAAGTTAATTAATATGGTTTCGTATTGTGTATTGATAGGGTATCTGTCAATTAAAAAATAAAAAATAAATCTTCCTACCTGCTATACGAGAAAAAAAAATGGTTATCATTTGTGACTGTCAACTCACTATTTCTTGCTCGTTCCCTCTCTATGCTTTTTATCCAAGGCATATGCTTAGTGCTTAACCTGTCTGGACCCCACTTTTACACAAGATCTAAGCTACATCCTTCTCGTCTGGCAGATTAAGAGTAAACGCTACTGTGTTGGCTTCAGGTATTATCAGAAGCCCAGATCAGATGAACAGCAGATGTTGCACGCAGCCCACTGGAGGTTTATTATATGCTGCCTGCACATAACAATACAGGCGAACAGAGTCAGTTTTAGGAATCTGAAAGATCCTGTAAGGCTGCTGTGGTTTCATTCTCCAGTGGTAAATGCCGAGGAGAGGAAATGAGTCTGTATCAAGCTTAATTGCTCTCATCAGCTGAAGAGCAAAGGGGAAACTCACTAGTGTTGCATGTTTGTGGCTTGCAGTCTGCACTCCTCACCTCTCCACCTCTTCTCTTTCTGCATTGGTAAGCCCTGAATCTCTTTCCTAATGGTGCAACTGGGGCTCTGCTTTAGATGCAGAGGAACAGACTGTGTTTGTCGTCTTCCTAATGTGTCTCAGGAGAGGAGAGGGCATGGCACGGCACAGTCTGGCTCTCTGTTTTCCCGCCCTCTACCTCACTCAATTTATTCCTAACTCAGAATGTGATTTATGTTGTTCACAGTCTATTTTTATTCCATATTGCTTGTAGGTCTTTGCCCTTGTAGTTCCTAAAAGCCATGAATGAGTCCCAGTCATAGCGTTGAAAGCTTATATTTTGACTTGGTGTTGAGATCCAACAGAAAACAGCCAATGGCCACTTAGCAGCCTGCATCTCTTCTGTCTTGAACCAGACTCTGTTAAACATCTTGTTGTAGAGATTTCATTGGGCATGGCTTGCTGAAATGTTCACTGGGTATGGAAGATACATTTTCGAACATCACTGTGTGTAAATTGGCAAATACTTGTAAAGTTCAAGGTGATGATGAAAACAAACAAAAAAAAAACTTTTTGTTGTTATTATTATTATTATTATTATATATTTTCTAATTGTATTATTAGCAATATTTAAGATGAAAATGGGTACTAATTTTAACTTATTAATGTTAAACTTAATATTAACTATTCTTAATATATTATACAAATTTTGCTGAAAGAAATCATTAAAAAATAAGGTTTTTTTTTTCTGGGAATAATATTACTAAGAAAGAAGTTATATATTTTATAAATTATATGTATAAAATATTATGCATATTTATTATTATTATTTTCTAATTAATATTAGATTACATTATTTTAATTAATATATTTTTTCAAACAAATTATTATTTTAGATTTATTTTTAAATTATTTTTGATACCTTCCTACCTATAAAAGAAAATAATATCACTAATATTAACTATTAGTAATATTAATATTAATTGCTCTTTATATCTTATGTTAATTTTGCTAGAAGAAATTCTAAGTAATTATATTTTTAAAGAATATCTATCTATCTAAATGTATTTATGCACGTGTGTATGTGTGTGTGTATATATATATATATATATATATACACACACACATACATGCATAAATACAGTTACACACGCATGCACGCGCGCGCGCGTGCGTGCGCGCGCGCGCGTGTGTGTGTGTGTGTATATATATATATATATATATATACACACACACATACATGCATAAATACAGTTACACACGCATGCACGCGCGCGCGCGTGCGTGCGCGCGCGTGTGTGTGTGTGTGTGTAAATTTACAGTGTAGTCCACTGGATGAGATAAAAACAAAAAAAAGTTAAGTGTGAAACTTCATGAGCAATTCTTGGACTGTGCTCAGCAATTTTGATGTCATACATTGGCCAGTCACATGTGGGCAATAAGTATTTTGTGGTTGTTGCATGGCAATTTGTATTGTCTGTTCAATTACTGTGGTAGAAACATAGCATATTTTTTGTGTGTTTATGTATGTGCATGCAGGCTCAAGCATCTACTCAGTAGCAGTGGAAGAAGAGAGTTGGCAGGCATTTCCAGTGTCCTTTCCAAGATAAATAAAAAAGCAAAAAGAAATGGTGCACATGAAATAAAAGCCTCTGACAGAAAGCAATAAACGAGACCCTCAAAGGGCCTTGCAGCTCTAGTGGTGTCTGGGCCTGTGATATGGGCTACGGCAGGACGTCATGGACCTCACCACTCTGTGCCTTAATACTGCACCATCCAATCTAATAAGCATCAGGGAGTCCATGAGGTCATGGAGAGACTCTCCTGCCTGTTTGAGTTCAGTAGTTAAGTATTTAAATGTTACCCAGTGAGTTGAATATCCTTATTTAGATGTATCAATTATAAGGGATAATGCAGAAGGAAATATTTTGTTCCAGTGCGCATTCCCTTTTGAGTCACAGATGTGAATTGCTTTGAATCTACATAAAAAACACATGTTAGACCAACATTATTTCCCCAAATAGTAACAAACTTCTTAACTGACTTTAATAAACTATTTCATATGAACTGTGTTGGTGATTTGTTATGTGGTTATAGTTATAGGATTATTGTTTTGATCTGTGTGGGCATTTTGTTTGTGCTGTTGCTGTTGTTCTTGTTGTAAGTATTGAGGTTGATTATTGCACATGTATTGATATGAATCTGGGTTGCATTGGCTGGATGGGACATTTTGGATTTAGTGGATGATTCATCTTGTTTTATTGGTTTATTTAAAGTTATTATTTGGTAATTTATGAACACAGAATGGCAGTTAGCATTCCGTCTTCTCAGACTAATGCAATGGAATAGCTCTCCACATCTGCAAAAGAGAATCTGTCAAAAACAACAGCCGCCAGCAATGTTTTCTGTTCAGTTGGTTGATCTGTGTGGCATGAGCTCCAGATTTTTCTGTGCTTCTGTTCACATTTCTACCTTGGTCCTGAGGGAGTGCTCTGTCTTCTCATTTCAGCATTTCTGCCATTCCACATCTGCTTCTGGACTTTGATGTGTGTTGTTCCATGTTTATATTTAAGCGCCACATTTACAAAGATTTCCTTAATGTTCAAAACAAAGCATGGAATGAATAAATGGTGAAAAAAAAGAAGACAAATTCAATTACACTGAGTACTGTGGTGCAAGCACACGCTGAAATGTTAAGCCATTTACTGTAATTGTCTGGTTGTCAGTATCACAATATCACAGTGTTGTGGTTTATTATCAGAGCCTGTGATTGATAAAGAAATAAATTCCAGAAAGGTAAAGTGGCTTTGAGACATTAATGTCTTGTTTTCATAGGTTATGCAATGTCAGTGAAACTATTTGGCATTAAAAGCAGAGTAGATGAGTGTCATTTTAGGTCCTGTGGGCTCACAAGGGCCCTCGCCTTTACATCGCATAATGGATAGATACAGTATGTGTGTCTAATCTTCTGCATGCATTCAGGATTAAAAAAAAAAAAAGTTATGTGTGCTGTATATCTATGACTATGACAATCTGATGCTAGATTGGATAATTATTATATAGTTTTTATATTTTACATTTATATTTATATTTTATATTAATAGAGGTATGCCCTAGATCCTATTCTAGATCTTTATACTGGACCAATAGTTGTATGCATCAAAAATAGACATTTAAACAGTTATTTATGTAATATTATTAAATATCATGTAATATTTTAATTATATTATTTAATAAAAATCAATATTTGTTATTTCATAAATAATATTAAAACTGTAATATGTTTATAATAAGTTAGATCTAAAATTTATTAGAGAGGTTATGTGTGTTAATGATGTAATTATTTTTGGTCCTTATACTAGACCATGCTAGATTTATGTTTTTTTTTAAATATATATTTATATTTATATTTATATTTATAGAGGTATGCTCTTATTCATACTGGACCATTAGAAGTATGCATCAAAAATGACATTTAAACAGTTATTTAAATAACTACAATATTATTTATATTATTTAATATAATTTAAAATGTATTGTTTAATATTTAATAACACATATTTTATAATACATTTGTTCTAAAATTTATTACAGTGGTTATATAAGAATGCTGTAATTTATCAAGTAATTTAAAAAGATCTACATTATTCATTTGTCAATTATAATTAACTTTAGTACTGTATAAACTACATGATCAGACTTTTAACAGAAAACTCTTTTTCCACATCAAGATTCTTTTTCCACAACAAACCCCAGGTGGCTCTTTCTAAGCATGCATTTTCTCTGTTATAAAACATCCTACTTTTAAATAGAGATGTATTAAAAGCTTTGAATGACATCATTGTCATGGGGATTACATCATTTAGTTAGAAGGGTTCTTTGCTCCCAGAAGCCCTCGTGGTTGTGGATGTGCAATTAACGGTTTGGATGGAATGTGCTTGGCAAACAGTTATTACTGTAGGATCAGACATCTATAACACTGGCCTTATAAAACAGATTGCGCTCCATTAAACATAATGTGATGTCTTGCACATTGATTTTCGTGTGTGCAGCATGCAAATCAAGCTCCTTACTGGAAGGTGAGACCGCAAACCATAAGGAAAGTTTGATATTTTAAGAAAGAAATGCTTGTAAATTTAACCACACAATCATCATAAGATTCTCCGAGGGTTCACGTCTTTCTGCTTTCTTTCAGAAACCATGATTGTAAGATTCAACCGGCTGAAGAGAGGCCTCTTCCTTCTAGGGACGTTCTTTATGGTGTCCCGTCTTGTGCTCTCTGAGGAGGTGGGTCCTGCAGAGAAAGAAGTCACGTTCAGTCATGTCTACAGGATTGATTCTGGTTGTAAGCAGGGTTCTCAGGTGGCTCAGCTTTCCCAGGACCAGGCCTCAGAAGGACAGTTAGTCACAATGGATGGAGAGAATGACATTGTCTTCAAGCACAACATACGTCTGCAGTCGGCTGGTTGTGGATGTGCAGATTCCGAAGACTTCAAAGCCCTGCTGTACCGTGTAAATGGCCTGGAGGAGGAAGTCACCTACCTAAAGAGCCAATGCGCTCAGGGCTGCTGCAGAGGAGGGTCAGGTATTAGTACAAACCTGGAGATTTTTCCCTGATTTTTTTTAAACTAAAAATCAAGCTACCTGATTTGGTACTGTGAACCATATATATATCTGAATACGCCTCAAATATAACCAAGTCGAATCAATTCAGGCTAAAATATTCTGCAAAAATACAGTTTTTATTTTTTAAGTTAGTGCATAGTTTAATATTTTAGTGCATAATGAAAAAAGTGCAAAATGCAGTGACTTACTATTGTTTTTTGTCTTATGCGTCCCTTACCACATGTGACTTATATTGCACTTAGACCCCAGCCTTTATAAGTACATGCATCTGTAATATAGACTGTGAATGTGACACCTTTGATTAAAAAAGTTAACATATTATGCTTTTTTTAAAATTCTAGTTCAATTTGTGAATTTGAACTGAATTTGAATGAATTAAAGCTAGAATTAAAATTAAAATTTGAATTTTGAATTTTTGAAAGGAATACCATGAAATAAAAAAAAATGTATATAACCCTAATTAGTGTGAATTTTAACAAGAAAAAACAACATTTGTCACTTCAAAAATACTGTATTTAAAAAAAAAGAAGAAAAAACTGCCTTATAAAGAGAAATAGATATATGGACCAGGGCGAAGAATCACAGATTTCAGAGTTCCCCAACCTCCAAAACCCCATTTTATGTGATCTTATCAGAGCAGGTGCAATATGTTCTCCTTTGCTAGGTGTGGACACTAGCTGCAGTGGACATGGCACATACCAGCAGGACTCTTGCAGTTGTAAGTGTAACCCAGGCTGGGAGGGTCCAGACTGCTCCATCTCATCCTGCCCTGACGAATGCAATGATAATGGCCGCTGTGTTGACGGACGCTGCGTCTGCTATGAAGGCTACACCGGCCATGACTGCAGCCAGCTCACATGCCCTAACGACTGCAAAGACAAAGGCCACTGTGTGGATGGCAAATGCGTGTGCTTTAGTGGATTCTCAGGAGAAGACTGCAGTATCGCCACCTGTCCTAATGACTGCATAGGAAATGGACGCTGCGTGGATGGACAGTGCATCTGCGATGAGGGATTCTTTGGAATCGACTGCTCCATGGGTAAGATTATACTAAGTTGGTTTACAGGAAATTCTGACCAGAATCTAAATGTACTGATTGTGCTGTATGTGCTTGATTCACTAAAAAAAAATATTTTAATAATTTTAATTCGTAAATTGGACTACACTTGTCACGCTGTCTGTTTCTCACTGTAGATTCAGTAGCGATGTTGCAGTGCCATGGAATGAACTTTTTCAGAGTATTTCAGTACGGTGTAATTCTGTCCACATTGACAGAGGAATACATGCGCAAGAATTGTTTATAGAAACGAGAATGATTTGGTCTAAAAAAAAACCTGTTTCTCAGATTCCAACCCTTATTGCAACTATTAACCTGTTTGTTATATTTACCTACGATGTAAAAAATAAAATAAATAAATAAATAAATAAATAAATAAATAAAGTAAATAATGCTGAAGCAAATTTGGTGTGGAAACAATTTTCACTCTGAAACTGCTAGTAAATTTTTACAAACAATAAAAAAACAGCAAGTAACATTGAATCAAACAATACATTTTGAAGTAGATAAACTAAAAAATAAATTAATAAATTAATAAAAATAAATACAAATCTTGCAAAACATACTCCAATAATCTTTGTTTAATTTACTTCAACTTCAAAAAAAAAAAAAAAAGTCTCAGTCTTAAATGTATACTTTATTTTAGAGGCTTTTGGAAGAAAACAAAGTGGAACCTTGTCTAGTTCAAGCTTCAGCATTTACTAAGTAAACTTACTGCTACTCCTATAATTTTCCAATGAACAACTATATAAGAACTAATTGAACACTTTGAGGTAGTTCATTTGCTCTTATTAACTCTTATTAACTTGTTTTTCAGTCTCCTGCTGGCAGAAAACAGTAAAAGATAGGTTAGTACAAGGGGATTGTTAGTATTAGCACAAGGGAATTGTTTTTCATCAATCCTTTTCTTTTCCACACTTTCGCCCTCAGACCTTCAGATAGAAGTGGAGTGCCTCAGAGTTGGAATGCATGGATAGATGAGCTGAGCTTCAAAAAATATTAGCCATGGCCAGAGCCTTAGGGTGTGACATATCATCTGTGTTAACACTTGTGAAATGGTTTCTTAGGGGAGTTAGGGCACAGTGTAATTTACTCCAAGAATGATAATAGTAGGGAGGTAAGAGCAAGAACTGCAAACTAGTCAAACAGATCAATTAGGGTGTTACAGTCTCATGATCTTGACACTAATTGGCTTCGGAATATTACTCGAGGGTTTCAGCTGTCCATAGCTTGTCTGAAAGATTTTCCATATCTAACGCTATAGGGAACTGCCATCGTTATTAAACCAAGCTCATTCTTGCATATATGGGGATGTCTGATTTGTAAAATCTTACAAGGATTATAGGATGATGCTTTAAAGGTTATACCATGAACACCAGAAGCAATAAAAAATATAGGGTTATTATATTAGGAGGTATTTATCTACTTTTGCAATTTATTCCTGTAATGGGAAAGCTGACTTTTTAGCAGCCATTACTGCAGTCTTCAGTGTCACATGATCCTTCAGAAATTTCTTTCAAAACAACAACAAAAATCTTACTGACCCCAAACTTTTGAACAGTAGTGTATAAATAAAGAAATTTGTGTTGCAAACCTAGACCTACTGGATTATGTGGAAGCGATTACAAACTCACACAGATTAGACCTGTATGAAAAACAGAGAAAACACCATGAAACAATTCTACGTTAATTGTAAATGTGGTCGATCATCAAAAGATCAGTGTGGCAACTTTGTTCTGACCACAACGAGTCTAGTGGATTTTGGTGGATGTCTTAATGGTAGATCAACAAATGTTGAAGATTAGATTTACTGTACCTACTGCTGCGGCCACAGGCTTAGTCACTGCAGAAAAAGTGACTACAGTTTTGTTGTTCAAAAAGAAATTGGTGGCAACATTGTAAGAAATGTATATTTAGTCATGATCACAATAGATCATCAATAAAATGTAATTAAAAGTGCATTTATACTTATTTAAAGTTGCTTTAAGCATCAGACAGATGTTTCTCTGGCTTGAAGAACCACCACTGTTGATTTATTCAAGTTTGTCCAAGTCCAAACAGAACTGTGTTGTAATTGTAATTTAATTGCATTGGTTAGCCCTTAATCAATCAGTGGGAACACGCATTTCCGGCACTTATGCTTTCTTTCCAGCTGGCTGATAGTTCATTAGTTCAGCAGGCCTTTTTGGAATATTATTTACTGGTGAAATTGTTACTGGCAAACCCGGGAGAGAACAGCAAGAATGGCCATATTAACTGCCACTGGATGGAAAGCCTTCTGCAGAACTGAAGGAAAACATTTAACTTCCTGCCCGCTTGCCTTTGTGGAAGAATGTCCAAACCTGCTGTTCATTCTTTCCTGGGTAATGCAGCGTCCACAGCACCCTTTTCTCCCCCTCATGGATTTCCCTGATTTTTTTCTCTTGCAGTTTCCTTAAATCCTTTATTTTTTTCCCCCTGTAAGTCAGTGGATAAGGTGTTAATGGAAACGTCGCTCCATGGGCTGCTGACTGTCTGACTCTGGGGCTCCTGGTTTGCTACTGGGGCCTCCCCTCTTTTCTTCCTACTCTGATGTGCAGTTTTGTTAAGATCCCTACTTATTGATGGAGGCTCAAACCACAAAGTAACCAGAATGAAAATCTCCATAGAATAGCCAACTCAGACGTTCAGTAAACCTTAAGATCACTTGGTATTTGGGAAGCTGTATAAATGTGAACAAGCTTTAGAAACTAAAGAAGAGAACTGGGAAGTAAAAACTTTTAAAGGAATAGTTCACCCAACTATGTGGGTGAACTATGTGGTTTTGACCACTCTTTTAAATATAATGAAAGTAAATGGGGATCGGGGCTGTCAAGCTGAAAATCTCTCCTTGGTTTTTTCATGAGAGTTCATAAGAGGAGCAATGCTTGATTTGTGAATCAATTGTTCTTTTGAGTCAGGTCTTTTGAATGAGTTGATCCAATAAAAAAGGTCTGAATGATTCATTTATGAATCTGAAAGATCTAATTATACTGTCACTGACTATGAACATTGTCAGTGAATATTGACTTATATTTTGGTCTGTTTGTCATGGTTGGTTGAACAAATTAATAATTAATAAACAGGACCCCAATGCATAGACAACTAGTAAATCATCTGATGTAAGAGAATGCTCATTGACAACATTTCTTCATACTTCAGTTCTAGGACCAAAAGGCCTCCGTCTGATCAAAGTCACAGATGTATCTCTGCTGGTGGAGTGGGAGTCTGTGAGAGGAGCCGAGTACTACATCCTGTCCTACTATCCAAAGGGAGACGAGGGAGCCATTAAAGAGGTTCAGGTGGAAAACACGAAAAACTCCTACCTGATCACAGGCCTCGGAGCTGGAGTCACATACATAGTGCAGGTGTACGCTGTCATCAGGGGCATTAACAGTGAATCTGATGAGATAGTGGCTACGACTGGTAAGAACAATTGCCTAAAATACTACAAATATACTGGTAATCATGCAGTATTGAGGGTTTAATTATTTATTTAAAGCTTAAAATAGATGTTATGTGTCTAAATGCTTCGTAAACAAAGAAATTCAGTTAATTTCAATTCAGTAAAATGGCTTTGTCATAGCAGCAAACAAGCAGTGCTATTTGTGTTCATTATAAGGCCAGATGTAACTAAGCTGGTAGAGTTCAATGAAAAGCCAAAAACACATTTTCATGGAAATGAATGTTTACGGTTGTGCAACAATGGGATGAGCATTTTGATGTGGTCAGTCATACATTCCCCATAGCACATTAGGCTCCCGTGAGAAAGTGCTGATCATTTGGATGTGATGACAAAGATGAATGGCCAGCATGGGACACTGTCTGTCACCGGTTAACAGAGAGTTTGAATGTCTGAAAGCATTTCCTTCTCACGTGAGAAGTGTAGCTCAGTCTGAAGTGGTAGAATACTTGGCTGCAACTCATTTCTGTCATCCGGTGGCAGAATGTTGAGGACAGATGCTTGTAAGAAGAGTCAAGAGAAGACATCCAATCAAAAATATGAAAGAAATGGCAAAGGATTTGCATTCATTTGTATCCTAAAAGTCTGTACACAGAATCACTGTAGAATTAAGAACAAATTAAGCAGCAACTGATTTAAACTTTGATAATAATATGTTACTTGGGCACCAAATCAGCATATTAGCATATCAATCAGCATATCAATTTCTGAAGGATCATGTAACACTAAAGACTAGAGTAATGGCTGCTGAAAAATCATTCTTGTCATCATAGGAATAAATGACATTTTAATATATATTAAAATTGAAAACAGTTATTTTAAATTATAAAAATATTTCACAATGTTTTCGATCAAATAAATGCAGCCATTGAAATCTTATCAACCTCAAAGTTCTGATACATGTCTGATTATACACAGTTGTCATATTGCACAGTGAAACAGCTAAAAACAACTTAGTGCACCATTAAGCTGTTTGCTGTATACTGTCCATAACAGATATTGCCCCAATCTGGTTTTCTCTTCAGAGGTCTCTGGTGTTGAAGGAATCAAGGTGCTGGGCCAGACAGAGGACTCTATCCAGGTGGACTGGAAGAACCCTGCAATTGCCGTGGACTACTTCAAATTGACCAATGCTAGCCCTGATGGTCAGGGAGGACAGGAGAACGTGGCAATGAGCCAAGAGGCCAGAACCAAGCACACCATTGTAGGTCAGTCCGCTGTTATGCATCCATCTGCAGTCACAGGTCCCTAAGCTTCAGAGTGTATTGACTTCAGTAGTTGTGTAGTGAGAACAACATGAATGTGTGTTTTTCAGGCCTCAACCCAGGAACAGAATATCAGATAGGCGTGCAAGCAATCAAAGGTGAAATGGAAGGCAAGCCATCGTATGCCACAGGGGTCACAGGTCAGTAATATGCCTCGATAGCAATGCATAAAGTAGAAAATAACATTTCCAGACACCACTTTAGATTTTCTTTCATAATGGGGATGTTCCATTGACTTGTATAGTGTTTTTATATTAATGCTAATGATATTTTCTATCCCACAAACCCAAGACAGAAACCTTTTCACATTTTTTGATTTTCTGCAAGACTTTAGGTCATAATTTTTTTACTCTACAATATTAATATTTAATATGTTTATTATGCCACTTCTTGTGCCACACTGTAGGTAATTTCATGTTTTATTAATCTTGCAGGGACATTTGGTGCTCACAATGTAGGTGAAACCTGACCTATATCTGTATAGAAATTACATCATCAAAATCTGCAGAAATACATTAAAGGGTTAGTTCACCCAAAAATGAAAATTAGGCTGCGTTTTACTCACCCCCGAGGCATCCTAGATGTATATGACTTTCTTCTTTCAGATGAATCCAGTCGGAGTTATATTAAAAATGGTCTTTGATCTTTCAAGCTGTTTAATGCCACTCAGCGGGTGTCGCATTGCTTCTGTCCAAAAGAACTTAAATAAAAATCGCCTATCCATAAAAAAAAGTGTCTCACACGGCTCCGGGGGGTGAACAAAGGCCTTATTCAAAATGTAATAATCACTTGAATCTAGCTTGCGCTCACAGTTGTAAACAGAAGCAGTTCCGAGCGGATGACATATGAGGTCGGCTTTGCGCATGCACCACTCAAGAAGTGACGCACGCAGAAACGCAGGGGAGAGTTCAAAACAAAACAACGGTCAAGAATTAGAAGTACAAAACGAGGATTTGTAAAGAAGAATGTCCGAGGATTTTGATGTACGTAAGCCAAGAGGAGACTTGTTTTCCTTTGCTAAAGTAAGGAAACTTTGCTTCCTTTGATCTTGTAAACAAACGCTGGTTTTCACGAGACTCAGCGGCGCATGCGCAACGCTGACCTCATACGTAATCCTCCCGGAGCTGCTTCTGTGTACAACTGTTGGTGCAAGCTAGATTCAAGTGATTATTACGTTTTGAATATGGATATTTTTCTTACAAAAACGCATCGATTCACTACAGAAGGCCTTTGTTTACCCCCCGGAGCCGTGTGAGACACTTTTTTTTATGGATGGGCGATTTTTATTTAAGTTCTTTTGGACTGAAGCAATGTAACACCTGCTGAGTGGCATTAAACAGCTTGAAAGATCAAAGACAATTTTTAATATAACTCCGACTGGATTCGTCTGAAAGAAGAAAGTCATATACACCTAGGATGCCTCGGGGGTGAGTAAAACGCAGCCTAATTTTCATTTTTGGGTGAACTAACCCTTTAAGGAAGCAAAATATAACGGAGACAAATAGATGCAGAAATTAGATTATTGTTCTGATGTTGATGCTAGAGATAGAATCTTTACCACAACAATCTTTTAATGGAGGGAGTCCTTTCATACTTTCATGCTTTACGCTCAGAAAATATTTTCTTCTGAAAGGGTTCAGTGTTCAATGGTAGTTAAAATCTTTACAGCCCAGTGAGTAAGACAGATATTTTCCTTGTCACCATAAATCAATTAAATTGCTTCCTTGACTGAAAAAACAACAAATTTGTTTTATTATTTTACCCAGGCCTATTGAAATGTGGCAGTTCTAACATTACTTGCTCTGAAAAAATACACTCGTCCAAAACCAACAAATATTCATGAAGAACCCTAGAGGCATCGGTTTCTGTATTATTGTTGGTATCTTAGTGGTTGAAGCTGCAGATATTTAAATGTAGTGCTCCAGTATGCTTTAGAGCTGATAGTCTGCCAACAATGAGATCTTTATACTAACTAAACCTGTCAAATAATGTGGAAACAAATTAGTACTGGTCTGTAAATCTTCCTTCAGAAGTGCCTAACGATGTCTAATGAAAAGAAATCTTTGAAATATGTGATTTGTGTATGTTTTGGAAATGTTGCAGAATAATTTTGATGGACTGCCCATATAATATCCCCCTATTAAAATGACAATTAGCAAAAGCCCTTAAATCATTAAAAGGCATCTGTCATGTTTTAGCCTTAAATTTCATAGTCTAAATGCTTGGACTAATATTTATGTCTTTTTAACATGCTGTTATATTCCCTGTTTAACATTTATGCGTCAGTGCTTTTGGCTCAATAATAAGATCACCCCTGTAGAATTATGGTTTAAGACGTAAAATTATGGTTGCAAAGAAAACTTATCATACATAACCACAGTTATGTGCATAAGGGTGGTTTTAATATATCAAATACAGGGCAGGGAACTGCTAGATGTTGTATTCAACATCTGCGGCTTTGAATTATTGCTGTAATCATAAATATAGTTTACTTTGCCAGGCTATTTACCTATGGGAATTGAGCTCTTAGCCAAAGGTGCTTGAGATAGATAAATTAGCTGTAGCTTGTTTGCCAAGTCTCATAGTCAGCTGATCAGATGTGTGTAGGGCTGCTTTGTCTGAGGAGACAATTGTGGTGATGTCTCAGTAAGAAAGCAATCAATAGTACAACAATAAAACAAAATATGAAATCTAATAGTGGTCAAATGTGATTGTAACAGAAATACATAGGTAAATACATAAGTAAGTATTTGTGTTTAAGCTGTCTACTCTTTAAAAAGGTGTTGTTTTAATTAAGATCCTTCTGTTCTTAGAGCCCCAAGGCTTGCTTAAAGGGATAGTTCAGCCCAAAATGTTAATTCGTTCCAAACTTGTATGAAAACAAAAGATATTTTGAAAATGTTCTCTCTTTTTTTTTTTTTGTCCATAGGGTCCAGTGTTGTTTTGGACCCTGCTGACTTTCATTGTATGTAAACAGCTGAACATTCTACAAAATATCTTCTTTTGTGTTTCACAGAAGAAACAAAGTCTTAAAAGTTTGGAATGACAGAAGCATGAGTAGATAGAATGTTCATTTTGGGCTGAACTATCCCTTTAAATGAGCTTCAATCTGAAGTATGCTGCTTTTTTATTTGATCCTTGTCAAGTAGCTAACATCTGACCCCATATTATCCCAGCAGCACTAATCTCTTTCAAGAAAATAGATTTTTACTTTACACAGTCGGGGTGTTGCCAAAAAAGTGACTGGACACTTTAGCTCTGTATTGGATCTTCTGAGTATTGGCTCAAAATGATAGTATATTTGTCTTAGGGGGCTTCTAGAAGAAATAGTTTGGGTGTTATTGCACATTTTATATAAAGAACCATCTGATTTCTGTAGTTACACGTACCTCATGTGAGCCACAGCGAGATTCTCAATTTCAAAAGAGAGAGAATTTAATACTTGATTCTGCCTTTAAATTTAAGGTAGTACTACATCCTTTGAGTCTGTTCCTGACAGCAACAGCAGCCTTTAGAGGGGCCTCCAGTAGACAGTATTTTCCCTCCACTCAGCTTATGAATTACTGCACCAGTTACTCCTAGTTAATCCGTAGGAACAGGAAATGGTTTTTCAATGCTTCCTCATGGACATGGCATATTTTGCACGTGTGCATCACAGAGAAACCAGAGTATATATTGTTCTTCTTGTTATCCAGTGCAATCTAGGGTGACCATACTCTTTAATGTAGAATTCCTTATATTTTATGACTGAATAACTGTAGCATTCACACTGACCTGAAGATGAACAGTGAAATTTATGGATGTGATCGAGAGCCCCCCAACCTGTTTTCTTTTAGCATCAATGACTTGAACAGCACTGTTGAGTTTTTCAAGTTATTGGGAGCTATAAAAACACAACTTTAAATTAACTGAAAAGACTGCCTCTATAAAAAGAACAAAATGGCTCAATAGGGGACGTTTCTACAACAACTGAAGACATTCAGTCTGCCGCAGACTTTGATACTTTTGTTCTACCCTGAAATCAATGTGTCCCTCATCACCTCCTCCATAACAATCAGGTGTAGTTCTGCCACCACAAGGGAGTTTAATGCATTGTTTGTTCAGTGGAAAGAATCATTGGATTGGACATCTTCAAAGAACTTAATGTCCTAAAGTGGGTAAGCAAGACCGCACATCTTGATCAGCACTACTTTAAAGGCACAATATGTAAGATTTTTTAAAATTAAAATATCCAAAAACCACTAGAACAGTGTTATATATTTTGATGACTTGTGTACTTACATTATCTCAAATGTTTCGAAGAATGTTTAAATCCAGAGAAATAAGCAATTTTAACTAGTGACACGGAC